CACACACATAATGTCTGAACTGTCTGAGGTTTCTTTTTTATGTTCTTGGCATGGGAAGGAATGTCGGGACAAGAGACATGTCTCCTTCACCTTGCACATGGATACTGGCCAGAATGATATTCATGGGTTCCAGTATTGCAACCCTCATCCAAGTCTTTTCATGTGTAGTGACAGAGCCCCAGCACTAAATTCTCCTCTCTCGCTCCCATAAATAATCAGTTAATTTGTGAGGAGACAGAGGTGCACGACAACAGGCTGATGTCACCGCTCCATGTTTCCTGGAGGCTCAAGTAAGCAGAAACAAACACACATACACACCATCACCACTACCATTATCACTGCAGGCGTCACCGTCGAAGGACCCTCTCTCCTGAGCAGAGAAATGAACTCTGATTGACGATGTGTCTCCTCCACAAGGGTGGCAGAGAGTTGAAGGGCAGGTCATCTGTCAGCGCTGACAGGAAACACAAGGTGGAGATAAATGGAGAGGATCAGGCTTTCCTCTCCACCTGCAGATGATAATCCCAAGATGGAATAAATCAACTCATCTCTGGTAAACAAGAACACAAAGCAACTCATCTCACAGGCCACCAAGGAAACATGCACAAGGCTCATCTTGCTCATATTACTGACTGGAAAATTATACATGTTGCACATGATACATTAATTAATTTTTTTTTTTGTAATCTATATTTTTAAGATGTGCTTGGTTCTAAATTGTCCATAGGTGTGAATGTGAGTGTGCTTGGTTGTCTGTCTCTAAGTGTAGCCCTGTGATAGACTGGTGTCCTGTCCAGGGTGTCCCCTGACTTCGCCCTAAGTCAGCTGGGATAGGCTCCAGCCCCCCGGCGACCCTAGTGAGGATTAAGCGGTGTATAGATAATGGATGGATATTTTTAAGATGTCGTGCCCACAGAAGACAATCTTATCCCTTACCTGTAAGATGTTGACCACTATGCAAACTACATCATGACTTTTGGGAGAGCTAACATTTTTGTGGTCTTAAACAACAGGTGCAACATTTATAAAGCACTCTATTTAGCTTTTATTTACCAATATTTCGGTAAGTGCTAACAGAACACGCCTCTGGCTCTGGTTGCTTTTCAGAATCAGCTGGCATAGATGTTTGGGTAAATGTTACATTTGCTAGTGAGCTGCCCTGTTTTCTATTTGGCATATCTGTGTGCTGACAGCAAAACAGAGAGATGAATAATGGTGATTCAGTGCCCAGACTGAGTGGGATCTTTCTGATCTTTTGGTAAAAGTGAGTGAAGTTAATGACATTGCAATGCCATGCTTTGATTGTGATGGCAAGAACAGAATGCCTGATGGTATGTTTACTGCAGTGAATTAGTGATTATTATTATTATAGTCATAATTTGAAGCAGGGCCCACAGTGGTGAAGAAAACGAGAAAAGCAAGGCAAAAATAGCATACTGTGAATATTTTAAAAAGACCCTCCCAAAATGTTTACAAATCATGTTTTTAAAGGAGCTTGTGTCTTGTAAAGAATAGCCAAGACCCCGTGGCTTCCCTGTAGTCCACACCCTGCTGTTACAGTCCCTCTCTGGTCACTGATGAAACATCTCAAAACTTTGTCTCTTCGTATCTTAGTTATATACTTTTTCCCATTAAAATAAATCACTCCAGTCTTAAAATGGCTCGGCTGTAACTCTACACCTCTAAAATGTGCAGGTCTATGTTAACCCTGCGTGGATTGATGTGTATCAGTAAGTGGAACTGACAAACATCCTCCAACCACCAGTGCTCTGCTCAGACACGGTAAAACTACTCTTTGCTACACAGTAAAAAGCTGTAACATTGGAGTAATTCAGCTGCACTTGTTTGAACTGGAAACTGATAGTGAAGAAGAGTAATGAAATTCGTACGGTCTGTACCTTACCATGTTAAGCGCTGTGAGATTAAATACGTTATGAACTGCACTATACAAATAAAACTACATTGAATTGAATTAATGATACAGAAAGTACAATCATACAAGTACACATGAATGCTTTGCTCAATTTTTTACTTTTGCAACCTCCTGCCAGTCATCAGTGCACTGGAGATTCAAGGTGGAAATACTCAGCCATGGCAGTGACTGATTATTTCACTCATAATGTCTTGTAGCATGTAAAAACCACCACAGAGAAATGTTAAAATGGAAAAACTTTTAAATACTTAAATGAAAAAATTCAACTAATTCAGCCAAATCTGGGATAAAGTGTGACATTCCAATTAAAATAATGGCAGTACATTTTGTAAAATTAATCACATTTCACATGTAAACGTTGACTCCAGCTACCTCAAAATGCGCATGAACTTCTTTAACAACTCGCCAGAGAGTGATTTGAACAAGACTAATGAGCTGCTAAAATGCTAGCAGGTCTGTGGGGCTATACTTACACATAACTGTGCTTTGAGCTAAACGCTAACATTGGCGGGCTAACGTACTCGCCATAGTTATACAATTAGCAGTTGGCTCCAGTTAGCTTAACTTAGCATAATATCAACAGTTACTTTTATATATTCATGCTAGCTTAAGACAAAGACTACTTTTTTATATATCAAATTCAGCTCTTAAAATATATCAAGATAAGTCTCACCTGTGAAATGTTATTCCCCATGACTTTGTTTCGTTATTTTCTTAATTACAGCAACAGCAATAATGACAAAAATTTGGTATCTTCTGCTGTGGCGGCAGGAGGAAATGACGTATTTCACAAGCCGGATGTTGCTAATAATAACGTTAGCCATTTCTTTGTTACTAAATAAAAAATTGCATTAAAAAAAATAAATAACGTTAGCCATTTTAACTTCATCTGTTAGCAGTCATTTGATAATTAACACTGAAGACACCCATCTGGACAACCGCAAAACTATACTCAGTATAAAAGTGTGAATTATTATGACAAGTGGCTTGTTTTTGTGTTTTTTTAAATTTGCTGTTCCAGCTGTAATGTATAATGTTAATAATATGTATATATGTGTACATATATACAAACATGTGACAACTGTATGGTATTTTAATGCTCTTCTGGATGTATAAAGAACACTAATCCATCTTGTTAGACAAGGTCTTTCTAAAATGTGTCTTTCAGTCAGTGTTTAATTTTTTTCTTTGTCTAATTCTTTACTCATTTAATTGGTCATGTAGAATTAACCAACATTATTGTGATTACAAAAATTTGTTGGCAAACTGAAAAAAAAAAAATGCAAACAACTATATACAAGTTTTCATAGGGTTCTGCTACATGGCAGTCATGCCTGCTTAATGATAAAAGTAAGTGGGCAGAAGAACTGATTACTTAACCTACAGAGATTCGTCACAGAAAACTTCACAAATATCCGTTTCTGTGCCATTCAGTGTGAGTAATGCTCTCAGCCAAGCCAACTTTTTTAAATTGGTCTGGCTCCGTTACTAGGTGTCAGATAATATGTTTGGAAAATCCCAACCACAGTTCCTTGACTTTGGTTGCAGTAACAATGTTTTAGTGGCCCATTTTGGATAACTGCTTCTGTCACACAAATACTATAGTATTTCATCTACTACCACATCATGATCCACCTCTGACAGTCCATTTCAAAGCCAAGTGTTTCTAAATGTGCATTTTGCATCCTGCAATTCAGGGCATTAGTCGAGATCTAATGATTTTTGTTCTTTTTTTATATTCGATAAAATGTACCAGCCGCTGGTATACTAGGAGGCAGTATATTAGGATAACCAGAACTGAGTAATAAGTGTTGCTGGAGCTATAGCATACATATTACAGCTGGGTACTGGTTGGATGGCTGAAATTCCAGTATTCCCAAATCAATTTGCATTCCCCAATCAGTCACCAGACAGTAATTTCTCTGAGAAGACAAAAACAGGACATAGCAGTCTCTTCTTCTTTCATCTCGGTGATTAGAAACCATTTAATTAGATACTGTCACATTCCCCAGTCATAACAGCTAACAATAACCTTCCCCTGTGTGTGTCCTCATCAGAGCTAAATTATAGACACACACTGAAATCACAGCTATCAGCTGAGCACCAACAGTTTAACTGTTGCTATCCTGGACAATAACTGATGAACTTTGCTCAACCAAACTCTTCCTGTGCCATCTGTCAGAAGTGATAATACCCTCAACCTAATGGCACCTCTGCTCCTCGCTTTGTACCATTAGCAGGTTATAAAGCAAGGCCTCGTCTGTCCCTTCTATTCTTAAATAGAGCTCTTCATCATCACCTCAACCACAGCACACAGATGATACTTTTTATTACTCCCCGTTTCCAGGAGTGAGGGATATTTTCCCCAAAAACAATAAGGTCATATGTTTGTTTGAATCCTGAAAGTGTGTGTGGAAATCCAAATGGGGCTATTCACAGTAAAACAGACCTCCTTGAAGGCCATGACATGTACTGTTAAGCATACGCTATTTTGGTTTTAATTTACAAATCCCAGCAGCTTAAATTCATGTAACTACTGGCAGGAAAGTAACATGGATGTGTTATCCATTAGCGAATAAACTGCCCTCCCCCTTAGCTGTAATACAGTATGCAGCGAAGGCTAACTGCATTGACCCGAGCTGTAAGAGCTGGCTTTAAAAAGGGGTCGAAAGCTCGTGGCGCTGTGTGGCTGATTTTAGCCTGTTGCATGGAGACTGCAATCCAGGTGATGCATCAGCCAATGGCAGAAAGCCAGAGCCAGACACGGGCATCAAGGTTGGTGCAGCTGATGGATGGAAGTGTAGCACCAGCACTTGCCAAGCCATTCTCACAGTCATAAATTACATGTTTACTGCCGGCTGTGGCTCTCTGCACTCGCCAACATTTCTTCTGATGTCAGCAGCACATTATCATATCTAATCAGACCCCAGCAACCCGTGTTAAATGGGTGGGAGATTGAAGTAGCCATCGTTCCATCTCTGTAAATATAATTTATATCGCAAACATGAAAATCCTGATATTTATGGACCGCTTTATGGAGTTGAGTTCAAACTCTGAAAGCTCAGGCTAGTTTGTTTATCAATAGCATTTTATTTAATGTAATCCTTTTTACGATGACATACGTGTTCTGCAACCCTTCGTCAGAAGTTATATGGCAGCAACCTCTGTTAAAGCATTTACAGTTGAAGATAAGTTCATCACATGGAAGGCATGCACAGTGGAAGTGCACGATGTTGACTGAAGCAGATTACTCTGGATTCTAACAAGCATGGCGAACAACCAGGAATATTTACAGTTGTGACCATCCTCCAAGTCAAATGAACAGTCTTGACTGAGACAAGTTTCCGCGCACACACACACACACCCTGCATACATACACGCATACGCACATACAGACGTACACAGACACACAACAGACATTTTCATAAATCTATATCTTTCTGCTGGAGAGAAACCCCCAAACACTGAGTTACACTGTTTTGAAAAGCTGTGTCATGAAAAACACTTACAGCTAAAAAAAATAGAAAACCCAATATATTTTTTTTCCACTGATGATTATGAAGTAAATTTAGGGGAATCAAAGCTGTGATAGAGCGAAAAAAAACTGGCCATGTAATCCTCAGCAATTTTAAAATACCCTCATGTAACAACTGCCCCTAAGGACTATATTCAAAATGGATCAAACGAAAGAATCCTTGTACAAAACAAAATAAATCAATTATGGTAATAAAAATAAGAGTACATTGTAAATATATATTCATATTTATAATTTTCTAACTGTATTTACAAGATAGTGAATAGAGCAGTGGACCACGGTGCTGCATGTCCCTTAGATTTGGTCAGTAAAGCAGAATGCTGTCCTTCGCTACTGATGAAATGACCATGGAACAAAACAAACCTACAAAAAACTGACAGAATTCTAGTCAGTCCTTTAGATTCTCCTGGCCTGCCTTTGGAATGCCCAAAGTGGAGAGAAAAATGGGAGTCTGCTGTTTTCTGACGCTGTGACAAACTGCCACTCCCGTTAATACAAAGTGCCCCATAAACATCGTCACCGCCAAGAACCAGGGAATGGCTGCAATCATCAGTCCATGTGATCCAACAAGTTCTACAAGGTGTCTCCAAGCTCCTTTCTCACAGAGCAACAGTGTTTTTTTAGCTTCATCTCTGGGAATGTGGGGAGAAGTCCAACCCCATGAGGCAGGGAGCGGAGGAAATGTCAATGTTTGTCTGAATGAAGATGAGGTATCAGCGTTTCTTAATGGCTGCCCCGTTGGAGTGGGGAGGGAACTTTGGCAGGCAGGGCTCCTCCGCTCCAGCATCGTGGGAGAAAACAGAGTCCTCACCGGAGGAGCAGGTGGAGCTGCGGGTGTCCGGGTAGCTCGGAGAATATTGGTCCAGAGGCACCGAGAGCTCCAAATACTCCTGCAGGCACAAAGGGAGAAGAATCATCAGATCAGCTTTGAACTTCCACAACAGACATATCTGCGGTTTGTCTGCATATTAAGGAGACGAGGACTGACCTGGTTGGATGTCATGGCCAGACAGCGATCTAGGTCTTCTACCAGCTGTTTGAAAGTGGGTCTCTGAGAGGGAACAGCATGCCAGCAGTCCCTCATCATCATATACCTGCAGAGATCATGATTCAGAATGCAAAAGTCAGGTTTATCCTTCCTCCTGATTCTTAGTATTAGTTTTTCAAACATCAATCATGTTAAATGAATGTTAACATTCTTCTGAGGCGTGGTCAAAGCCTAGATCTCCAGCTAGAGGTGGTAGGTGACAGTCTAAACATAAAGCTGAACAACATGTTCCAGCTGGAGCTCACTCAACCTTTGAGCATTTAATTTCATTGGTCATCACACAAACGATGTCAGAGAACATTACTACGTTGCCAAGCACCTGGAATTTTTCTGATACACAAAAACATGGGTAATATAATTAATGCCAACTGTGTGGATCAAGCATGAGACATGAGACTGAGCTTTCAAGATGGTTTGTACATTGTCTAAGAATCACTTAGTAACAGGTTGTGCATACACAAGTGACAAACACTTTCACACACTAAGGTCAATTTTACAGACGATTAATATTAATACTTTATCTTGTAAAAAGTGCATCACTTCACGCAGCCCTTAATAACTCTGCTACTCAAGTTGGAATAATCTGCTTCAGAACAATGTGGGTGATCAGTCAAGGTCATAAACAGAAAACCACAGAGCTGTATTTAGTTAATGAGCTAGAATGTGGAAGGAGGTTGTTATTTTCCAAATCACAGAACTCCTACTTTATTTTTTGAAAGTTATCATTTCATAATAAGCTTTAAAGATCTTGTGTGATTTACATTTTATTTAAAATAAGCCACTATTTCAGAAATTTAAAAGAACTTAATGAAAGCAGTTACAATGCATCTGGCAGTATTGCAACATGTAATACTATTTACTAGTTTTACCTTGTAGAGTTCAAACAGTACAAGTCTGCATAACACGCAACATTGTGTGCACCGTTGTTTCCTTACAGTTCATGAGTGCATGTTGAGGGCTTGTCCATACGGTGACCTTCCTTCAGCAGCTTGAACAGCTCTTCCACCGGGACGCCGGGGTACGGAGAGCCTCCCAGGGTGAAGATCTCCCAAAGCAGCACCCCAAACGACCAGCTGCAGATAGAAACAGAAGGGAGCGTCAAGACTTTCTGCTTGACTAAATGTTTTCCTCACAGTCCGTCAAGACTGAATTGGTAAGGTAATTGCATGTGGTACTCACACATCACTTTGGTGCGTATATACGCGGTCAAACAGAGCCTCAGGAGCCATCCATTTGACTGGTAAACGACCCTGTGGGAAAGGTGTGAATGTGACTATGCCATCTAAGGTATGTTGAAATGTAAAGATCATTAAACAAATGATGGGAGCACTCACATTAGTGGTCTTCTTATAGTAATCAATGTGGTGGATGTCTCTTGCCAGGCCAAAGTCAGCTATTTTCATCACATTGTCCTCCGTCACCAAAACATTGCGAGCGGCAAGATCTCTGTGGATGCACTACACACGCACACGCACACAAAGACCATATTTGAACTGAACCCAAGCCTTTGAAATCAGTGCCTAAAGTACAAATCTGTTAGAATATTTATTTTTCAAAGTAATATATTTTTAATAGAGGGGTGTCACTCTATCCGATTCTATAAATTTATTATGGAAGGCTGAGCGTAGCTGGTTGTACTCTGTGGTTACCTTTTTGGAGGCCAAATACTCCATGCCTCGGGCCACTTGGTAAGTACAGGACACCAGGTCTTTGATGGACATGTTCTCCACAGGAACCTGGTCTGGGTTGTAGCAGTACTCCATTCCCGGTGGGCGTCGAGCTCGCAAGTATTCCCGCAAGTTGCCCTTGGATGCATATTCAACTATCACATATAGAGGACCTACAAAGAGTTGGAAGACATACACGAATAAGTCAAATGGCATACAGTGTGGGTCCATGTTATTCACTGTCTCTATACAAGTTAACTTTTAAGAAATAAAAAAATCATCCCCATGAAAAGAGTTTATGTAGCATACAACTACAAAATCAAGGCATGACAATTACTTTACTGCATTATGAGGGCACTTAAAAATCTATTTGCGATGGTCACAATACCCTCAAAACCATCTGGATTCCCTGTCTTTGTGAGTGAGAACATGTAAAATGTTATAGTTTTAGATCACTGAGATACAAGCAAGTAAATGAAACACCTCCTGCACTAACTGGCAGATGTTATAAATACATTCGTATCAAATATGAATGTGATTTTGTTACTTAAAATACAATTCAGTGCCAGAAGAGTAAATAAAGTGGAATGAACAAAGAGCCTTGTCTTGCAGTGTGAAGGCAACAGCGTGACGTGCACTGCAGGGTCATTAGAGGTCAGTTTCCTTTAGTTTTTTTTTTTGTCAGGGCTGATTGGAGAGAAATGACAGCAGCTGTGGTCGATTCAAACTGTGAAGTCGGAAGCTGGTGTCAGAATCGTTTATGCATGCTTTTCTACACATCTCTCACAGTGAGGGACAAGAGTGTGTGGGTGTCTGCGTGTGTTTGTCTAAGCAGAGCAGGGCAGGTCAGTAGCAGGCCCCCGTCTGTCTGGTCCTACCATCCTGTGTGCAGGCTCCCAGCAGATTAATGATGTTCTTGTGCTTCCCAATGATCTTCATCATCTCCATCTCTGAAATCAGGTCTGACAGGTCTTTCTCTGTGGCATCAGCTGTAAGGGAGGAGAAACAAATCATATTAGGATAATTAGTCCAAGTTCTGTTGGTGAAAAGGCCAAAAAGGTCGCTCAATAATCACCCTGCAAAGTATATACACCTACGTAGCAGCTCTTAAGGAGTTGGCTGGCGTTTGTAGAATGCTCCCCAAGGAAAGGCACTTAAGGTACGAGACAATAAATGTTACCTTCCCTACATCTTCACTACTCTGCGCACTTTAATGAACACTTTTATATGGGATGTCTCATAAATTTTTACTTCGCTCCCACATTTGCACAATGGCTAGGATCCAATGACAGATGCCTCTTACAATCGGCTCATCACAGTGTAGGTGTCTGAAGTGATCTTGTCCCTGAAGTCTGGACTTGAGACTTCTCTAAAATGTATTACTGTACACTTAAGATCTTTCCTCCCTGCAAAATGCTAACTTATTACAGCCGATTTCATTAGTTTTTGTATCAATCCACCAAAACCTACTGAACATAATATTTATGAAGAAAAGTTAACTTACATTTCAACATTTTGACTGCAACCTTGGTCACACGGTTTGGCTTCTCTTTGTCGAGACCGAGTGCCTCCCCCATCACCACCTGACCAAAGCAGCCTTCACCCAGAGGCTTCCCAAGAACAAGTCTAAGGAGGAGAACACATGTGACATGGTTGTTATCAGTCAGTGGAAATAAACTCACAATCTGTATTATGTGAGAAACTTTTGCCATGGGTTTTTAATCTTCCAAATCAAAAACAAATTGAATGTTAGACATGCACTTTTTGACGTTTAGTTACATTTTATGCATACTGCTTTAATTTTATACTCGCATAACTGTACAAACAGCTTTCTACAACCACACTGTTCTGAAAAAGCAAGTGTGAGAAGAGTGAGAGAAACTTCCTCTGCGCTTGTGAAGCTGCTTCGTCTCCATCTATCGAGGAAGTTTCCTTTCAGAAAGTCACTTTTGTAGCCTCTAAGATGTTGCTGCCTTTTTGTCCAATACATACCTGTCCCGAGGAAGCTCCCAGCGGGGATCCTGGGGCAGTTCATACTCAGACACTCCTGATAGCATTGGAGAGCCACTGGAAGACAGGCGGGAGGGACGGACCAGCATCACTCCAGAGTGGATGGAGGAGCTCGAGTCCACAGATACCTGAGGTAAGAAACACTGACATTACTCCTCTCATAGTGGAACAGACACCGGAAGCAGAAAATAATTTAGCCAAGACATGAAGAAAAACTGCAGCGTGACTGTTGCAGTTCCTATATAGGACCATGTAAAAACCACTGGTGTGTTTTGGACATGCTGTAGCATGCCCAAGGAGTCTTAGCACTCCTTGAATACTCATACTTACCTGATGTGCAAGACCTCAGGGATCTACAATGAACCTGAAAGCTCAGTGAATTCATGCTTTAAGTGTTACGAAAGCATCAACAAAAACTGCTGTGTAACTGTGTTAATGACTAAAATAAATTGTAAACATTATAAAAAAGTTTAAATCTATAAAAATATAAAGAAATAGCAGATGAAAGGTTAGAAGTATAAATGTTCCAAACCCCCTATCTACTTTCTGTTACCTGTCTGCGCAGGGGGATGCTTTTGGCCAGCTTGTGGACGGCCAGCTGACTGTTAAAGTCACTCTTCTTTGAGGAGGTGCGAATCTTGACGATGATTGCGATGGCAATCATAACGGCGATGAAGAAGAAGCCCACACAGTAGATGACTACCTCCAAGTAGGTGTGGCTGGCTGGAGGATAGTGAGCGACAGCTAGATGGGGACGTAGGGTGACAGGGGGCAGGGAGGGGTAGGGTCAGCTGTCATGAATGAACTGTCTGAACACACCCAAGTACACCAAACACACCTATTCACACGAGCACACAGCAACACTAATAAAACAAATGGCCCACCCAGACACACGCACACACGGACACACTTCCATGTCTAAAAGTCAGAGCCTTCGACACCAACACATATGGGATGCAAACTCCCCAAGCAGACGGCTGCACTTAAAATACTTTGTCAGTGTGAGAAGTGGTCATACGGTCTCTTGAATCACAGTGCAACCAAACTCTCTACAGGTGCAGGCTAGACCAGAAATAGTTTGGGTTGCGCAAACTAACAAATTGTTTTACTCAGATAATCTCTAATGCAGCCACAAATATTGTTTTGATAATGTGCCAAGGTAATGGATATATTAAAGTGAAGAGTTGGCAAAGGATCTGACTTTTACACAGAATATCAGTACTTTAAACATAATGTTTCAATACTGCACATAACTTCTTCTTCATCAAATAATCAAAATCACATTTCATTATCTACTTGTAGGTCTAAAGCAGCATACCACAAAGCATGAGCTCAGTTCAGTAGTTTAACAGCTTGACTTTATCAATACCTTATCCAATTCTAACCTCCTTTGTAATGCAGTTTTGTGTGTTGGTGCTGGTAATACAATCTTTTTTAGACAACATATCTGTGTGCTAAAATGCCAAAAAAAAAAAAAAAAAAGAATGCTAGCAAATGCTCCAATTCAGATCTTGTTTTTTTCCTCCCTTTCAGAGAAAACACCAATGTTTATTCATACCAGTAGTAGGGGTGTAATGAATTCCACATTTTAGTGAAAAGAATTTGGTTTGATCATACTTTGGTTTGGGATATAGATTCGTGCAGAGGAGCTGGATATTAGAAGCCGTGTTTCCATGGAAGTGTAAAATTTGAGAGAAACTTTGGAAATGTTGCAAACTTTGAAACAAAAAGAAAAAAAAAAAGAAAAAACTGCTTTGGGTAATTTAAACAAGGTTGTCGAGTATCCTCGCAGGGTGGCTACCTGCTAAAAAACCATTAAGAAAAAGAAACAAAACGTTGGCCATCTACAGCAGAAAAATAGAGAGAAGCCTTCAGGAGCTTTGTTCAATTGAAAAAGTTGTAATTATTCTTTCATGTCAGATGGTACTGGCCATGTTTAGGCTGTTTAAGGGCGACAATAGCAAAAGAAGCGTAAACAGCTAAATGGTTATGTCAGATAAATGTTCGCTATGTCGGAGCTTATTCGAAAAAGGTGTTTCCATCTCCCATTACTTCTATTAAATCTTTCTTTCTTTCTGTGATACTTCAAAATAAGCACAAAAATACATTATGGGAACACGACAAGAGATGCCAGTTCTGAATATGTTTTCTTTAAGTCTGCCTATTGCTTTAAATCACATTAAGGTTAATAATTGTGCAGTTAATTGTATTAGGCCTTTCTTTATTTTATTTTTTTTAAATTATACAAAACCAATTGTAGAAAAATGCTGGAAAATGCCTTTTAAACAAATCCACTGCCGCATTCCAGTCTAGTGTACTGCTAAAAACACTTCTGAAGATCGTATGCCACCTTAACTTCATTTTTTTATTTTTTTTTGGATGCAAGGTTTTTTTTTATCAAAATAGCTTGCTCGATAGTACATATGAAGTCTTACTGATGTGTTTTGTTGCTTAATGCTATCGGGAGGATATTAGATATAAATAATTTGTGTTAGAATCACTCTATGTTGAACATCCCAAACCAAGGGTACCATACCAAATGAGGTGTATCGTTACACCCCTAACCAACACCAGCAACACAAGTGAGCTACACTTGTGTGAAGAGGCTGACTGACAAGCAGTTTGATAATTGGACAAAAGCCCATTCCAATCCTCAGGAATGAGACACATACACTTCAGCGAGCCAATTATCAAAGCCAGCCGCTGTGCTCACAGCAGGAAATGACATCAGCAATATATGTCATTTGTAGTGCTTGTCAAAGAAAATCAGCTCAACACCAAATCAAATGCAAACACCAATTAAAAAGCAGAAAGGAAGAGACAGTTCAAAGTGAAATCTGATCAGAGCTGCCAAACAACCCTTCTATAAATGCAAGGTCCTACCTGGCTGAAGGCCATTAAGCATACTTCTGTGGGGTTTTGTTTTTAAAATACCCTGGCCTGTTTTTATAAGTTCATTTCTTTGTCATGGTAGACTAGAGAGCAGACAGTTTTTGGGCTGTTTGGCATTAACTGATTTCATTTAAGAAACAGCAGAGCATGGCTCATACCATCTAGAGAGTTTAGATGGAGCAGGAGTCATGCTGAGCACAGACAGAGGGGGAGTTTTAGTATTTGTAACATGCCCTGGCTTCCTCTCACATTTTTCACCAGAAATAGAATCAGGCAAGACCCTTTTCTGTCAAATGTGAAGATGGAGAGCCAGGCTTTGGTTGGAAAAGGGAAATATTGGAAACATAGGAGAGAGACAGAACCACTGATACCTTCAAAAACGGTCAACCATGCAGAGTGATGAGAGAACCCGATAGAATTGCCCGCCAAGCAGGTATACTTCCCAGCGTCATCTAAAGACACATTTCTCAGTTGAAGGACTTCCATTTCCTTGTCCGTGGTGTTAAGGCCAGCGGTCTAGAAAATAACAAAGGAAGCAGACCCAACAAGAGGCCCAAGAGGGAAAGGGGACCATGAGTAAAACATTCTGAAAGAGAAAGGGGATGGAGGAGCGTTCTCCTCCTCAATCCAACACCATCTGCCCAAAAAGTAACACCGAGAGCCCCTGCAGAGGACTCTCTCAGGAAGAGCCTCCAGTATCTGTTAGTGGAAAAGATGGTTAGGTTGAGTCTGTACTGCTGAACCCCACATTGGGTCACACCATCACCACATCAAATACCTCAGTTTCATCTCTACATGCAAGAGATGGGCATGGAAACCTCCACAGCAGAACAGGGCACACTCAAACTCTCAATCACACAAACTATGTAAGCAGTAGACAAACAACAGGAGGTCTGTGAAACATAGGTAGGTAAGCAGAAGATGACAGCTGGAAAAAAAAAAAAAAGGAGAGAGAGTTTGTGAGCCGTGTACAGAGGACTTTGAAGGGCAAGGGAGCGGGAGTAATAGAAGATGGCAAGAGAGGCCCTTATTAGGAGGGCACGGCACAGGCATGGGGCAGGAATGAGAACGGGTCCAACATAAACCTGAGACTAAACACTTTCAACTGTTCTGCTGGGAATTTTCCATAGCGTCATTTACAGTCAGGAGCACTGAGGAAAGAGGGAGGGAGAAATGGAGGGAGAGAAGGAGGGAGGGAGGAGAGAAACAGCTGAGGTTGTCTCGAGTTATACGGCTCTAGATTTTCCAGGTGGTCCTAGAAGCGCTGTGTCCACTGTGTCGTCCCTGTACTGCTGCGTGGTGGTTACCTGAGGACTCATATTTGATGACAGTCAGCCAGGCCGACTGATTGGCCTCTCCTATATAATTGGACACTTTACATATATACTCTCCGCTCTCTTCCTCCGTCACATTGTAGAGGGTCAGCACCTGAGCATCCGAGCTATTGACCCCAGAATGCTGGAAATAAAAACAAGTTATGTGCAAAACAGAAAGAGAAAAAAACAAAACAGCAGCTGACAGGATCTTTGACGGATCGTGTGGGTTATATCACAGTTAAAACAGCAAGGCATACACTTACAACTCATTTCACAAACAGTACAGAGCATTTAAAGAGCCCATATTATGCACATTTCATAATTTTATTTTTACTAGATATTTAAAAACACTTTCTCCCGTTATTTATTATAATCCTATACATTGGAGCAGTACCTCCTCTCACCCTGTCTGAAACACTCTGTTTTAGCTCCTGTCGCTTTATGGTCCTCTGCACATTTGGTTATGTACCATAACCCTAGATGTAATTAGGGCTCCAACTAATGATTATTTTGATAATCGATTAATCTGTCAAATATTTTTACGATTATTTGAATAATTGTTTTGTTAAAACATTTTTGTTTATCTAGGTAAGTTATGAAGAACATATTTTCATTAAGAAAAAGAAAAACACAAGAGAATTGTGCATTCTACAACATTGTATTTAACAAATTTCTGTAAAACACAGCTTAAATCAGAAGGAACACAATGAGCTTTAGATCTACCTTGTCAGTGTAAAGCTTTTCAATTCAAAGCATCAAACACAAAAGATGATGTGAAATTGTTTGAAAAAACATTTTCTAAGTGAGATTTACTGTGAGATTAAGTGTGAAGTGCTCCCACACTTTGGATGACTTTGTTCGTGAAGTTTTCTGTCCTGATTGATCTTTTTTCTTATTTTTCTTCGTACTATCACCAGCCGCCCCCACCGTCTTGCTGAATGCATAGACTGTGCCGTGGCACAAGCGACGCAAAACAAGGCTGACGCAACTATTAGCTGTTCGCTACTTCTCCTGCTGTACTGGTAGATTACAGTCACACTTTGGTAGCTGCTATAACAGATTGATTTAAAACGTTAAAAAAATGGGCTGCTTATGGTAAAAAATGGTATTAAGTAACTAATTGATGATTTAATTAGTTGACAACTATTTTAATAATCGATTTTAATCGATTAAACAGATTAGGTGTTTGAGCCCTAGATCTAATAATAGAGAGCTGTACCACTAGCAGAAGCTAGGCGGAAATATTGGCAGGCTGCAATGAAGTTGCTCATTCTTTGCTAGAGGTCGTGCCAACCTAGGCAGCGCTAGGCAGACATTATGCAAATGTTGTGTTACATTGTGACATAGATAAGTAACAGAAGAAAAGCTTGGACCTCAAAGGTTTTCAGGCAGGTAAAGAGCAGTGTCCTCTGTAGTAGAGATTTACGCCCCTTGGTGTAGGCTTTATAAATGTGCAGACCTTGTACAAGTACACAAAAGCCACAAAAGAAAAAGCAAAACCTTAAAATTGCATAATATGAGCTCTTGAACGAAAATTCTAATTAAGGAGGAAAAATCTCTTCATACAAAAATCTCCTGCTTTCAAATAATTCTATAGTGCTACAAAAACACTGAAACCATTTTTAACAACATGTGCAGAGTTATGTAGTTGCCACAGGGCTGGTCTGACTCCTACCTTGAGGACGCGGACATACGGCAAACCATCAGGACCATTTTGGCTCCCGTTGACCTCGATATGTTTCAGCCACTGAATATGAGGCTGAGGGTCACTGAACACCTTGCACTCAAACTCTACATCACTGCCGACCACTGCCGTGCGATTAGCTGGTAGGCCGGCCTGCAGGATTGGCCTGTGGGGAGAGCGCTCTGTAACACACAAATGTTAGTGTCAACATTTAGTGAGCAGTGACGCAAATACGCAATATCAATGACAAACAAATGGCCAATATATTCAAAAGTTCTCACGGCTGACTGATTTTCAAACAAAAGCCAAATAAAACTTCCCTTTTTGTTCCTGGAAATGACAAGGGCAGATGGCAAACAATGTTGCCAACATTATTTGATCTGATACTGTGTAATATCAAGATTCAGACTAGAATTCCAAAGTTACAGGTAGCAGTAAAGACTTAAAGCAGCCACCTCCCCAGCTATCCACTGCTTGTGGAATTGTTCAGAATTGGCCATGATAGATGTGCAAGCAAGTTAAGTGTCTTATCTGGTGCCGTTACTCTGAAATGAAATGTTCCTGTGGCTCCATTTTGATGACTAATGACTCTCCAAAGTAAACTTACAAGCCAAGAATCTGGCAGGATGTCAACTGTGGAGGCTTTTCTAACCCAGGCATCCGTGGGGACTTAGTAAGCACTTGTGACAGTAGTTTCCCCTCACTGAAACAATCTCAATGCTCATCAGGCTCTAGACATCTACGGAGGTCAGGCGAGGCCCAGGGGACAGCAGCGAAGGAGGAAGTGGGACTGTGATTTATAAGACCAATGGCGTATAAGCAAGTCACAGGGCAGGCCCTAGAGGAGTAATCACTTCTCTCCTCTACGTGGATCCATCTATCATGTCACAAGTAAACAGACGCAGTTTATCAAAAAAGGTGGCAAAGGGAGCAAGGACCTAGCTAAGACTTTGAGACTGCAACTCTGTGCCTTTAGATGAAGGATCTCACTTGATTGGATTTTCAGATATCTTCGTTTGAGACATTTTGTGAAACTGATTAAACATGACAGTAAAGACTCATGAATACTCAACAGGTGATTAAATCCTAGCCAACAGTTCCTGACAAGGTACATACCATTAAAAACATAATTATAGTAATTACTTACCAACAACATCTAGCTGGTAGGTGTGATTAATGCTGCCATACTGGTTTTCCACCACACAGGTGTAGTTTCCCTTGTCAGAGGGTACTACAGATTCCATGATGATGGTCCACACGTGGTCACGAACCTTAAAGTGGAGGAAAAGGTTACAGTCGCTGGCATACAATAACACTTGATAACTAAACCATATGCTATGTAAAGACCTACATGAAGAACAGTTACTAACTGAAAAACAACTCTCAGCAGGTCTGCTTTAATTCCTGTCTACCACATAAACAATGAAAGTAACTAATTGTACTTTGTAGTCTCCAAGGTTTGACTTAAAAACAAAAAAATGTTCAATCCGATTTAATTATAAATGAGGCAACAGCTAAATCTAACAGGAAAAACTTCAAAGAACTTGGGATTCTTTTTCTTCATCTGCTTTTGCCCAATTTGAAATCTAATCAATCAAATTTTGTTCATTTTAAAGCACTAGTTAATAAGGTCAATGATGTGTGCTCTGATAACACACTAACCTTCCTTCTGTGAAGGTACCCAATTCTTTAAAGAGCAGATTTTTGTCCAACCTAACAAAGACCACAGGAAAATGGGTCCATGTTTTATATATATCTGCCCCAACCATTCTTATTAGCACCAACTGATGTCTGGCTTTTTTTTTCCAAGACATGTTATAATTTTTCTTCCATAAATCTGCCAAGACCGGCAGTGTGTGATTAGCCAACGAACCTCTAAGGCAATGGCAACATCAAACATGTATATACACAGACTGAGCCATACGGTTTCCCTCATTTAGCTAAAAACGTGATGAGGGAGTCCAGCTGCCTGCTGCCAGATGTGTTGTGCTTGGCTTCATATACATGTGGTCCACATTATTCTCTCCCTCCTGCACGTCTCCATGCAGACGATATGAACAATAGAAGTCCGGCCATAAAAGCAAGAGTGTGGGAGGGATGAGAGACGTCCCCGACCGCTGATGCGGACCTTTGCACCTTGACTGAAAAAACAGCAGCCAGATGGTTAAGTGTGCTGCCTGGCTGGGTGGAGGACTAAGGGGGGGAACGAGGGCAGCAGGCAGCTGAGAGGAAACTCCTAAATGTGTCCCAGCTGGGGGGGGAGAGACAGGCTGGGGAAGCACAAGACAAGGCTGGACTGGCCCACACCTTGATGGGACAAGCAGATGTAGGGAAGAAGGAGGGTTGTTTCTTATTCTTAGCTCATACATTCTACACCTGTGGGGAAACTGCCACTGAATGCACCTATTCCCAGAAAAGCCATTATTCAGGACTATATCTGAAGACTCCTAATACCAAATGCACATATCATATGTTGGTTGATAAGGCTGTAGATGAATATAATGGCAATGTTTTTCAAATCTTCCTTGTGCCACATAGGAAATAATTAATGGCTTTAAAGCCCAGACAAAATCTTAAAACGAGATTAATTATGATAATCTTTAAGGGATCATGATGCAACTGACAGGAAATAGTAAAGTGGTATATAACAGATCCGGTCCACACCCCTCACCTGCCGCACCTCCGTTAAGTAAATCCAGAGACAGCAGTTAACCATCTAATCAAGTATTATGACCTTAACAGTTGCCAGCAGTTATCATTAAACTTGAATACAGCCTGTCTGTAAATGGAAAGACACTGCCAAATAGAGCAACCACACCACATGTCATAAATACAGCAGGTATAATGATAAATTTACAGCAGCATGGATGTTATTACAGGAAATATGAGCCACTGATATCTAGAATGAGGACAGTCAATGTTATCCTTCATCCGAACGAATGGGTAGGATTGCCCACCTGGAGGTATTACTGTGGTACAAAGTTCCTTCTTGTGGCATAGAGTTTCACCTTCTATTGTTTCTCAGGTCAAATGTGAAACCTGCCTCTCCTTTTTACTTGAAAAGTGCTTCTTACTCCAGGGTAGGGGGTGGTGATCTAATGTGAAGATGAGCTCACTGCCACATCTCCGCTTATAGTGAATGAGTGTGAAATGATTCAGTAAGAAATGCTAAGAATGGTGTAGTGTTCATGAGAAGAATGCGTGGGGAAGAAATTTCCTGAATATTTTAATTATTAACCTTGAAGCCTCCAATGCGATGGTCTCTCTTGAACTCCTTCCCATTCTTGTACCATTTCAGAGTGGGAGTTGGGTTTCCGCTGGCTTGGCATCGAAACTTCACAGTCTTACTGGCTGGAACAGCATGAAGCTTTTTCTCCATTTTTTCTGGATGAGCCCATTGTGGGGCCATTGCTAGAAAACAGATAAATAAAATGTGTTTGATATCAGTGAAAAAACAATGTATATTTATTTTTTTAACTACATGAAACTAAAGGCTCGATACACTTTTTAACCACCTTGAACCTCAATCTACTTTTATAACAGACAGATTATTATGTTCCCCCTACAAAAAAATTAAATTCAAATTCAAAATTTTAGTGCCAGGGCTTGGCAGTCGTTGTTTGCTTTTAGATTTTGTGGCTTTAAAACTGCCTTGGTTAAGTTAAGCCATGTTGTGTAAATTTCATTGAAAAATCAGTGAGAGCACAAACTCAAGGTCAGCATGCTTGCCATGCTTGTTGGCTGCTGGATTCTTTGTGGGCAGAGCGGGCAGCAGTAGCCTGATCATACAGCCAGAGTGTCTTAATTGCTTTATAGACAAATTGGAGGACATCTAAGGTTAACCACAAGTAGTCACCACGGGGACATTCCTGGTGTAAAAGCTGTCACTGAGGTAGTAAAAACACTCTGATTCAGAGTGAAATCATTCACCCAGATGTGACCCACACACATGGCAGGCGCATAATTAAATTGTAAAGCTCTTAAATAACTGACCATTCATGACAATTACTCATAGTTCTGTGACTCTAGATTAGTCAGTAATGACCATTTGTTACAGCAGCATTAGTAACATAAAAGAGACTAGCACACTTACGAAGCAGTTTTTGACTGCCCAACAGTTTAGCTTCCTCGGATGAAGACTCCTCATCCTCATCATCATCCTCAGATGAGGCTGAGGTATCAACTAGTGAACAGAAAGTAACTGTGAGAACACACTCGCATTTGTACTTATCCACACAGTATTTTGTCAGTGATGCAACATTTTTAGGATAGATGAAAATAACAAGAACAAAATACACAATTGGAGCGAAGTGGCAACATTTCAGTGCTTTTTGAACACAAGGGCAAATATGTACATTTAGTGATATGCAGACTGTACTAATTCAATGTAATATGCTCATTTTGCTTCTTATAATTTAAGCCTCAGGGATCCAGTGATGATTTGAAGTGATTTTTTTGCATTGTGTTAATACTGTGCATTGTAAAATAATCTAAAAGTGTAATGGCAAAAAAAAAAAAAGCAGAGTAAACTCAAGGGGTTATTTATAAATGAGCATAGGGTTCACACATGCAGATTCAATATTTGGACAGTGATATCTGCAGTTCATTGTGAAAGAAACTGTTTCTGTGACTTTACCTGTGACGTTGAAGAAGACGCTGTGGTTGCCAAAGGTGGTGCATGTGTACAGACCAGAGTCAGACAGCTCCAAAGCCTCGATCTCCAGCTGGCCGCTGCGGATGCGTGTGTGTTCTCCATCCACAACAACTACATGGTCTTTGGTCCAGTTGACAGCATGGGGGGAGTCCTTGGAAGAGCAACTCAGATCCAGACGATCCCCAAGATAGAGAGTGAACAGCTCTGCCTGCGTTTCCACAGAACCTACAAAAGAAGAACGACACGGTTCAAGTTAACAGCTCAACAGGCCATTAAACACTCTGAAACCTTAAACACTTTAAAAAAAACATTATTAAGACTCATGAACACATGAAGGAGTCTGTATCTTTGGTGTAAACTATGAAATATACTGCAAGTTCTTTACAATAAGACAACCACTAGGTCTGTTCCTACTGTAAACCAAACCATATCTTAAAATAGAGTAGTCTTCCACAGAACAGGGTTGTGTGTGTACTGTAAACACATAAAAAGTACTTCAGTCAAAAAACAAGATTTTAAAGACACAAGAAAAGTCATTCCTCGATTTCCTCCCCCCTGCCCAACCTCTTCTCCAAATTAAATCGCATCCCAAATTAGTCAAGGCCCTATCATCAGGCAGGCAAGAAGCTACTTGGGAGAGGAAGGTGAAATTCAATTAGAGGAATGAGAAGAGGGGAGGTGTTACGAAGCGAGACACCTGAGCCCCCCTGTTCTAAATGACTACATAGTCGGCAAGGGGGAGGGGGTAACCCAATTATGCTGACATGTTGTCCATCACAGTGGTGTTGTTTGTCTGGTTACAAAAGGTAAAGATTGTCACTGGCCAACTTGCTTGACATTCTTGCTTTAGGATGACAGTCTGTAGCCAGAAGGTACACAAGGTATGCAGTTCTAATTAATTTGCATCCTGATTTTGTGGACATAAGCACTGTAACTAATGATTTATCTCAGGATTCATTAATTGTTTCTGCCCATTGCTTTATTGGTAATTATTATTTTATAAACTGTCACAAAACGGTGAAATCAGTGAGATTTCCCCAAAGCCAAAGATAATATTCAAGTATTCATTGTTCAACCAACATTTCAAAACTCACATAAACGTATGATATGTAACATACAAAGAAAAGCAGCAATTCTCCTGTCGATAATGGGCTAAAACTATATCTGAATTATTTCTTTGACAGGTTAATTGTAAGATTTAACCACTGTTAAAATGGTTACAATTTCATGTCAACTAGCCAATTTTTCATTGATTAATCACTGCCCTTCTAATTGATGTAGTTCTGTTGTTTCAGCCAGGTGAGCATCTCCAAAGTCTCCTGAGGCAGAGCTATAATATAAAGTCTGTGTCCTTTTACTTGTTTTTCTTTCCCCATTTCCTATATAGCCCCTCAGCACGATAACAAACCGTTTAAGATAATCAAATATCAAATGGTGAACTTTCCTTTAAGATGAGATTATTCTGAGCTCTTCTCAAAGCACACTGTGTTTTTATAAATGTGCTTCATTCGGATCACAACAGGAAGCACATCTATACAGAAGAACCTCAGGACAACATCAGCAAACCTGACTAATCCCTCCCACCATCACAACAAAGGACTGCAAACAATAAAGGGGAAGAGGGAGCAGGGAGAGCACGCTAGTGAGCATGTGCACAGGAGCGAGCGAGAGAGGGCCTGCAGTGGCAGGTTCTAGTGCCAGTTGCTATGGTGACCCCACTTGGGCCTAGTAAAGGTATTTCCTGGATCACATATGTCTGACAGGCCCTTAATCCCAGCAGGAAAAGGGGCCAGGGGGTAGGATCAACTTTCTCCTCAAAAACAAAACCAAACGGGGGAAAGCAGAAGAGGCATTTAGACCATGTCTACATTAAGCAGTCAAAATTTTAAAATGTAGTTTTTATACGGGAACCATTTGTCTTCATATTACTGTTTGAAGGCTTTCTATGTAGACAGCTCTGTCTATAGTGACACAAAAATATGAAAACACCCATCACTTCTATTATTTGCAACATTTTCATTTAGCACACAACACGGCTGCATCACAGCCAACATCTGATGAGGAATTGGACCCAGAGCTCATTATTTCCTGGTTGGGACATTGTCTAATAAAACCCATATACATGTCAATAGTAACACCTGTGCCATATTATGGCACCACGCTGAATGTATCTTATACAACACAAACCCTGTCTGTGTCCCACAGTCACAGATAAGGAGATACTCTGCTGAGTGTCATTACACCTCCTGTTCCCTTCATCCACCTGTACTGTGTTTCTATTGCAGCTGAATTCACAACTCATGTTGTTCTCACTTATATACTTTTCCATTTTTGCTTTCAGACAAATGAAAATGTATTAAATAGTGAACAACTATGGACCATACATGGGAGCCAGCAGTCATTCCAAAACTGCTGCAGTGCTACAACACAGCTTTTACAAAGTCAACATGATCTGACAGAATCAACATGAATTCTGGCTACTGCCAACAACTTCACCGGTTATTCAGCTATACTGGCTGCTAAAGTGAACGACGCCAAGTACGTTAGAGGCAACTAAAAGTTGTTTTAACTTTACTGACGCTATGGCACACAGCCACTACCCTCACTGCGCTGGCTTAATCATCCTTTTACAAGAGCTCTGTTGTCCCTGTACACACTGAAACACACGGCCAGTATTTTCAGATTTAAACACTCTTGGGATCACTTCGGAAAGCTCCATTTTGGGGCAACAAAAACGCAGTTTGTTTGTTTGTTTTTTTTTTTTACAACTAAGAAAAAGACGCATGCACATACTTTGCGAGCTAAACGGGCCCATACTGTTAGTGATGGCCTACCGCTATCTAACCTGGGCACAGCCTTAAACACAAAGTCTCTGTGCCGTGTGTGAGGGCTGTCCAGTATCTTTTTGTCCCTGCCCTCTAAATAGAGATGCCACTGATAAGACTGTCAACATCACAGCTGTTAATCTCACTCCAGATATCATAAAACACCTATAAAAGCTGTGAAATGTGCTTGTTGCTTTATTCTAGACCGCAGACAGGACCATTTGTGCTTCTGTGACAAACTTCTTATAACTGGAGTAAGATATAACGCAATGCAGCCAAAGCAATACAATCACTCTCTAAAAAAAGTTACAGCCAACATCTTTCTGGCAAACTCCGTGTATAAATGTCATGCTAAAAAATAGCTACACAGTTGTATCACTCACAGTAAATTTATTTTCAGCTCTTCACAGGGAGGCAAGTGCCAAGTTTTCACACTTTCTTTGAATCTGAGGATGTTTCATCTCAGTTAATCTTCCTGCAACTATGATTGGATTAAAATGGATTAAGGACCACAGTTTCAGAAAGCAACCCACCTGGAATGGTCTCTCATGAGTTCTTTCAACCATCTGGAAAAATTGACTGACATAATTTATAATCAGCCTAATTACATAAATCATGAAAGGAATTTTGGTGGAGAAGAATGCAGCGAGAGGTTTTAAAAACAACGGGAGAAAGCTCACTAGTCTGTAAATGCAAGACCAACTAAAAGGAAGAGTTGGCGCCAGTCTATGGAACTTTCTCTGACTACAACATAGGAAGCAATATGCCGCGTGAATGACTTCTGGGATTTCCTGCTCTCACTGGAGTGATGGTTGAATGCAGGAACGTCAGGGTAGCTGAGGCTCTGCAGTGGCACACAGCGAAAAATGGATATGGCAAGTTTCCTGATTTGCTGATTTGACCACACCAGAGTGAAGGGGTGGGTGACATGCAGAGAGGACTGATAACAGACAAAAGGCAGCACTGGCAGGAAGAAAAAGAATAGGACAATGCCCATTAGCAAGCCCCAAAAATTCACAGAGCAAGTGTCCCTCTTTAAAGCCCTCCAGTGGAGGACCTTTTCATTCTTAAATGAGCCACTGACAATCAGCATGGATTAACACTTGAGAGCTACAAGGGTTGCTGTGCTCTGCAAAGTTGTTCCAGTGTCATTTAAATGAGTTCAGCTACTTTTGGCGCTACACTATGTCTTTAATGGACAAACAGTAAAACCAAAAACTCTTTTAAAAGAATAAAACTATGTGGATGTTGTTTTTAATTGCCGTTTTGTATAGTGTGGATGTGCCTCAGTCACAGGTTTAAACAGTTTGAGAAATTCCAATAAAAATGGCTTGCACAGACATGTTGCTAAATGGATGAGTAGCCCATTACACTCAAACAATACATGCATCACTGGCCTTCCTTACCTGACTTTTCAGAGCGGTTAAACTGGGCTGTTTTACTGTTTCCATCCGGTGCATTGCTTATTAAGGATAGTGCGAACTGTGAATGTCATGTCACTGCCTTTTGTCTTTCCTAAGTACGTGGAAGAAACTTGCTAAACAAGTTACTGTTCCCCTGACTTTAAATGGAAACTTGATCATGATTTAAACCATTGTCCAATTGTTTTTGCTCTTTGGGTCTGAATTTAAATTCTACTTACTATTTCCAGCTGTGTATAATATATATTTATAAAGCATTATTTCTACTCTGCACTGCATGCACAATTATTAGGTAAGTGAGGATTCTGACTATTATTTCTATCCATATTTCATCCAACATACAACTGACCCTGTATGCCCTTTGAATTTCATCGTTTTCAGGTGATGTGCATTTATGCAATAGGGGCTGGTGTGGCCTGAAGTAATCATCACCTTTAATTAAGGTGTGCATAATTATTAGGCCGCTTCATTACCTTAAGTGACATGGACCAAAAAAAGAGATTAAACTGTCCAAAATTGTAAATTGCCATTTAGTTGGACGCAATACTCAGGTTTGCAAAGAAACCCACGAAGAAGAAAAGGCTAAAACTATCTGCAAAACACTGAATAAAAATTAAACGTGAAGCTACCAGAAAGTCATTATCCAGCAGTGCTGCCATAGTTCTGAACTGAAACCTACCTGGAGTGTCCACAAGTACAAAGTGTCAAGTGCTCAGAGCCATGCCAAGGTAAAGAAGGCTCAAACACAACCACTAGCAAACAAGATTCACAAATTACAGCGTCGACATCAGGACAAGACGGGTTTTGTACAGGATTTTTGGGCATATCAAATGAAAATGACTCTGAGTCAGTCCGGAAAGGTGGGCGAGGGGTACTGGTGTAGTTTGCCATCATGGGTTGGATCTTCTACGGTTGAAAAGGGACTGAAAATCAACTCCTGAGCCTACTAGGACTTGGGACAGTGCTCCATCACATGCATCCAACAACTCAACTGCTTGGCTAACCAGAAAAGGTCTCATAGATGAATGAATAAAAACCCGGTCCCCTTCCAACTGATGACTTCAGTCACAACTTGTGGGCCCTTCTAAAACATGAGATTTACATAAAGTGAGGACATCACACCTATTTGAACAACATTTAGGAGGCTACAGAGGCTGTTTCAGCCACAGTTGATGATCTACACATCAAGAAACTGAAAGACTCCATGGATACAAGACTCAGGGTAGTGCTTCAAAAGAAGTGTGACTGTACCAGCCACTGAATACTTTTGAAAGGTCGACAACAATATTTAATCATCATTTTCTGTTTTTGTTTTTTTTATACTTACTCTAAAAAATTAGAATAAACAAGTGAATTGGGGGGGAACTGTAATTTAGTCACCTCATAATTGTACACACTGTGTGAGTGAGACAGATAAACATGTTAAAAAATATAAATCCAGAGGAATACCCTTTGCCCAACAATTGTGCAGGCAGTATAATCAAACAAGTTTTGTGCATCAGTGTTAAATCCTAAATCTAGGAAGTAATTATTTTTGTCATTATTTTTGAACTTGTTAGTAAAATTTAAAAAGTAAACCTTTAGTTGTGATTTTCTCTGTTCTATTAAATGCCCTTAAAGCTGAACACAAATCAGAGTTGTTATCATTAATCACCATTTATGTGTTTTGTTTCTTTCAGATAAAGCTGAAATGATAAAATATTGATTTTATCACCACAGGCATGTAACATTTATAGGCAGCGATTAACTAACTTTTTTATCTTTGTTCAGTCCTGGCAGCAGAAACAGAAAATAAATTATGTGGTGTTTGTCTGCAACAAAAACAGTGACCACAGAAACCAGAAGGAATCTGGTAATAGGCTGGTGCTGTTTTTTGTGATAACACTTTTTTTTTATGTCAGTATAGCACAGCTGTATTCATGCTCATTTCGTTGACAACGTCCAAACTGTTAAATAATGTTTGATACAGCGGCTGTCTGTTTTACTTCTTACCAAATGTTGATTGTTTGTTTGTGTCTATCTGAAGAGCAGCTGAAGAAAAAGAGATTTAACCTTTTCATGCTATTCTGGAGTTTCACTGTAGACAAAGGTTTCTACAGAAGACCTGGAAAGACTAAAACAACGCAAATTGTGTTCACACAAAAACAACAATTTACTCCTACTCTAGAGTCAGCAGAGCTATGCTCCTCTGGGCCTCCATTTCTGTCTGTTAAGTCTTTCTCAGGACTGTGGCAGCTTCAGATTTTAAGAGCCCTCCGCCAAAGGGTCAGCAGCTCTTCTACTGTGACTGACAGCAAAATATCGAGGCAAAGAAATCCACTGAGAATAACATAAAAAACTTCCTGACATTTCACTGTTGCAACAAAAAAATAAATAAAAAACACAGATTAAGATGATGTTAAGCCAAAAACGGAGTGGAGTTTCTCTGAATGATCTCACTGCAGAAAAGTTTAAAGGGGCTGTAATTATCTGAATGGCTGCCCCTGAAGAAAAACAATGAACTTAATTTGTTCACAGAATATTCTTTTCTTATGTGAACAACACACAAGAAAAAAAAAACCAAGACAAACAATGAGGCATGCATAAAACAAGACCATTTCCATATAACTATTTTGTTTCTCCATCCAAGACAAAAGGAATGCAACCAAATGCCTCTGCTGTGATTGTTTGTCGACAGCTGAAGCTATCCGTCACCCAGCAGGGAAGCGGGGGGAAAGTGAAGCATTCCCAAGCAAAAGTCAGTGGGGGAGCAGGAGGAGAAGCACCGAGGTGCATAGATAGTACCTGGCCATTTGGTGATCAAGAACTGGGTGGAGTATAAATGCATCAGACTTCCCCCACCCTGGTGGAAATTTATGGCTCACCTTAGAAGACAAACATTCTCCTCAGAAAGCTTATCCTTGAGGATAAGGAAGGGTTTTAAGTTGCATCTTCTTTTCTTTTTTCAAAAATAGGCTAATTTATAGTTCCCTGGCAGTTAACTCCTCTCTCAGTGACAACAAATACCTTTTCATTACAAAGGAGGAGAGAAGCAGGGACTGCTAGGTAGCTGCCCTTGGGCTACAGATGGGAGTCATTTACTCCTCCCTGTCCCACTGTTGGCTTAAACACAGCCACACCAAGTTTATTTTAGGGCTTAAAACCCAAGAGAGACCCTCTTGCTTAATTACTTCAATTATAATGCTCAGCTTTATCATATTCTTTTGCTGCTCTCCACTTCCGACTGCTGAGTGTAAACATCCAAACCCATCTACCCACAAATCCAGGCAGCTATTACACTGCTGGACTGTATCCAAGAAACACATTTTTAAGGATTTGATTTCAGTGCCTCTTTCCCCTTTTCAGAACTGAACTTGTGTAACAGCCAGACCAGGATAACTTCTTTACAGAAAGTCTAATAACACTGTCCGGTTTAAAAACAATAAAATTATTATTATACAGTAAGTTCTGTCAGAAAGACTTGTTGTTTCTAATGAGCTCAGGAGTATGAATTAGTTTAATTAGCCAGGAAAAAAGAAAAGGTGTTATTGATAGTCAGAAACACAGTTGTGCCACATCTGACACACTAAAGTGCACTCAAACAACATCAGACTCAGGCAAATGGGGGTGGAGAGGGAGGACTGACGCTACAAAGACAGACTTCACCAAAGTCTGGAGTGTGTTAGGATTACATTCCTGTACAAAGAACAAAGCTATGCTTATCAATGGGCTGTTTCTCAAGGCAAAGAGTCAAGATAAGTCAGACTTAATAAGTTTATAAGTTCAAACAGTTACATGATATTTCATAATACTGCAACCAGACCTGGGGGTAAAAAAAGCTCTGTACAAATGAAGTCTTAGTAGCTTTAAGTTATCAAGCCATCTTACCTTCATCCGTGCTGGCAGGCCGGCACTGGGTCCTTAAAACTTGGGCAAATAAAGCCAGAAACAGAAGTATACTTGGCCTCATCAGCATCCTGCTGAGGGAGCTACAACTGTTGGCTTTTCTGTGACTGGAACTCCATTCAGATCTTTGGGGCATCAGCAGTGGGTCATTCACGGTGCACAACTAAAAACAAATAAAAATGATAAAAACAAATTAATGGATAACCACATCAGCAAGCCTCATCCCTTAACAAGTGTGCTATCAACAAGGAAAAAATATGTCAAAATCAGTTTAGGATACAAGATTCTTGGATAGAAAGAAACATTTGCTTTGACTATGATTAAGACAAACAAACTTTGATATGCAAAAATGAAACTGGGCCCCAAACTGAAATAAAACTGTAAAATAAACTCTCTGTAATAACATCAATTTTGACTGATTGCAATCAGTATTGAGAAGGAAATTCCTCCCCACCAAAAAGAAGGGAATATTCTGTATGTCTGCAAGGTTCAAGGTAGGTGCTTGAGTATTCAGGCTGCCAATACAAAACACTGATAAGAACCTGCAGAGCACAAGGCCCACTGTGATAGCTTAAACAAACAAATAGGGGATACGTCTCACTCAGTTCTTAGGAATAAAATGTTTTGTTTCCAAAACTTCAAAGTAACTATCGAAGTCTGAACTATTTAAGACTGTCATCACACTCCGACACTGCCACAATGAGGTTTAGTTTTTCTGCTTAATCAGTACCGAAAACGGGGAGTGGGTGACCCTCACATGCACATCTGCTCGAATCATCACCTCTGCAGCATCTGGCCACAGAGATTAACACTTGCCCACAACCCCTATAACCCCCCTTAAAGAATCTGTTAAAGACAAAAAAAACTACAGGCTGTTATGTGACACCCTTGTAGAGAGAGACTGCCAGGCCATCATTTCCACGCTGAGAGATCTATCACCTAACAGTTGGTTTTGGTTCCCAAACCCAAAATGACCCCCCTGCTACCATTTGCTCCCATGAGTTGTCAACAAGTGTTCAAGAAAGTCAAGCCTGACATTACAGGGCTCATCACTGAAGCCTTTAAAAATCAATGCATTTACAAATTAATCCATAATATCAAAGTCCATTTTGTAACAACAACAGGATCACATCTGGGTCATAGAAACCCTGGCCTGGCCAACATTTTCACATCCAGTCCTGCACAGATGCAGCTGTGATTTCTTTTAGGAGGTAATCGCTTGTCTGAGTGTTGCTCACTGAAACAGTCATTGTGTTCTCCTCAAAACCAATTCAATTTCACTTTCCAAGAATGGTCTAGTGTTCCAGCAGCTGAGCTGGGTCAGGGGGGTCCAAGGGGGATAAAGAAGCTTGGTCATCTCTGCTCTGTAAGCTGTGAGTCAGTGTTTGGGAAGTCTCCAACAAAGTGCTTCTGCTGCCAGACAGAAGGAACCGCAAAGAGCAGCCGAACATGCTCCCTGGGCCCTCGTCACTACAACAACCGTGAATATTTGAAAGAGACGGAAGTAGCTTCTTCAGAGTGTGACGGGACATTTAGTCATCGTCCTCTCCTTTGGGAGCATGAGTAAAACATACTGTATGTCTTACTATCCACATTCAGGGCATGCTCCTCGTCAATGTGGGAGCAGACGGAGGTGGATTTGTGTAATGAAAAGCTGTTATTCGTGCATATTGTCATGTCAAAGTGCTGTACCTACCTGCCTATTGTTGGCTGGCTCATTATTCAACAGAAAAAATACATAGTACAAGGCTTTTTTTTGTTGCAAAACTCAAGCTAGGTCTGAACAATTAATGGAAATAAAATGAACATCATCACTAAACTTGTGACTCACAATATTAAAATATCAGCCCTCGCTCAAACCAAATTTAAAGGATCTTATGTAAAGTAGAATATAATATAATATATATATATATATATATATTTGTTGTATTTTGAAATACATATAGCAGGTAATGTACCGATATCAAAAATATTACATCAAGCTAAAAAAAAGTTGGGTTTTTTTCTACTCATATTCATAAATGAAGACACCTGTCTATGTGTCTTGCTTACAATTTCTTCAATTTTAGGAAAAACAATTAAGTCCCAGTTGGAGAAAAAATGCATCTTTCTTTTTTTCTTTTATATCTAAAATTATAGCAGACACACTCTGAGTAACGTTAATGACACAAGGGATAAAAGGAAGAAGAATTAAAGCACATCTCATATGAGGGACCTCTCAAACACTACAGTCCTGCACTGTTGCCATGCAGCAGATAAAACTCTTTCATTCGATCAGGCAAGATTAAAGTGTGACATATGCTCCTTATTTATATGCCACTTTATTTGGATTGTGTGGGGACTAAAAGGAAAGTCTGCAGTAAAGCGGAACAATCTGGGAAAAATACCTAATTGTGATTTTTCTGATGGATATTGTAATTTGCTTTGTGATAGGATTTTTTTTTTCCAAATCAAGGTTCAGCTTAATATTCACAGTGTAATTAATTTAAAACATGATGAAGCATTGTCACATGAAATATCCTCCAAAGTGTGACTGTCACACAAAGATAGTTTCAACCCTGAATCAGTCGTGCTGCACAACATATATCCTAAAATGCAGTACTTTCAATTTGCTAATTGTGTTGTTTTAAATTGTGACTTTGATTGTAAAATCGATTAATTGTTCAAGCCCTCGTCTACACCCTTGAGCAGTGGAAGAATCAAACTGAAATATTAAGACCAACACCTGCCCATGAATTTGGTTTGACGTTACTCTTTTTAGCGCTCAACCGTCTTGTGTCCCATTCTTAGTACCTTTTCTGGCAAAAAACCAACATGACACGGAAAGATACTCAGCTTAGAATAATGACAGTTCAGAAAATAAATATTCTAGATAGAACATTCACGTTGTACAATTTTCTGCAGTATAAAAGTGGTTTAAAATAAAAAAGAAGTTTGGCAAAGGCCCACTCCCTTTTCTGTGCTTTTAAGAAATTAAAGCATTCTCCTGAAAATCCGTCAAACTAAAAAGGGTTCAACTAAACAGATTAGAACACGCACGACACATTTAGCTTCTCTCATTATACAAAGACAAAGGTTACAGGCCTAACCCATAACATGGCCTGCACCATAATTACTGTTCACTGCCATCCATGCATAAAATTCCTCAGCTCCCAAATTCTGTATCCCCCCCCTCCCAGTTCAGTCTGCACTTCCAGCCAGCAACAGGCCAGTCTGCTCATGGCTGCAGTTCAGTGGACAGGAGAGCATCAGACCATTCCCTAAGGCTACTGTTTTCACAAAAACAGACACTTGTTTTTTTTCCTCTGCAGTCACACAATCTGAATTGGTGGTTCACCAACAGTGTGCCTCCGCTAGGAGATCAGGTGACATTAGATTACACTTAAATGCAAAGACAATCAATGTCAAGCCATCCGACACGCTGCCATTTGGTTCGACACTTAGACCCAAAATGCTTTTCAGTGCTACTCAGTATGTGTGTTTATGTTCTTCTTTCACACAACTGAAAGAATCTCAGAGATGTTACCAAGATGCAAAGAACATGTTACGCAAATCTGCCTAAAACATCCCGAAAACACCTAGAAAACAACAAAATTATCAACCTGTCTACTCATAAAATTTACACTCACACAAAGGTTTCAAGGAAACATATAATTCTGAGTTCTTGATGGATTTAGATAAAATACAAGCATACAGCTCAAGTGACAACAATCCTGTGCCAAAGGAGCAGCCTAGTAAATTAAAGGGCAGACGTATCCCTCACTCCCCATTATATGGTTCAGGAAAAACTTTTTTCCTCCGGTGAACTCCCTGCGGACACGCTGCTTTTCTAAACCATCCATCTTCTCCCTCTGCCTTTATAACATAACATTTTAGAGCTTTACATAACATCAGGCTGGGCCCTTCCAGACCATGACAGATGTAGTAATGATGGCCGTCCACACAGGATTTTTAAGATGTGGCTTCACAGCATTTCTCAATAATTAATATACTCCATGATTTGAAAGAAAGAAAGAAAAAAACTGTTGGGGATTGACCTTTAGTGGGTTTTTTTGGTTGGATGTTTAAGCCTGTGGCCTAAATGGGTCAGAGCATGATCACTTTTAGCAGGACTCCTGCAAAAATTAAATCAAGAAGTTCAGTAAAGTGTTCACGAAGCTAAACTCCACTGTTTGAAGGGTATCATGCAGGTTTCTTTTTTTAAATTGTTTTTTAATGCTTTCTAAATCGTAACCTTGACGTAATAAAAAAAAAAAACAAGTTATCTAATCTCATTAAAGGCGCCTGATATGACTGAAGGTTTTACAAAGGCTCCAGGCAACATTTCAGATCTTGTGCTTTAACATTATTATGTGTACCCTTTTATTTCCAAGCACTGTGGAGCTACGACGCATGAACCCAGGTCTAATGTCTGGAAAGAAAGCAACATGTGTACGATGCACACCAGAGAAATATGTCCTAAAGGAAAAACATGCAGGTTGAATGTCATCAAATACCCGCAATTCTCCAATGAGCTTCTTTTTCACACACGTTGTTCCTCGATAGCATCAAATCAGTGCAACCGCAAACAGCAGCTAACCCCGTTAACAAACAGTCAAATGAAGCTAAATCACAGAGAATAAAAAAGGCAGCAGCTCACCTTACTGGCGGGGAGCTGACAATCAGTCAGGCTCGGTCAGATAAGGAAGACTCCTAAACTCAGACTGGATGCGGGGGGGGAAAAAAAACTTCTCGAAAACAGTAAATCCAGACGTCCCGTTAACGAAGCTGTCCACGTTTAGCTAACAGGTTTGCGCATATTTTCGCCAAACTTGCGCGACACGAGAAAAGAATGTTTCGTCTCCCTCAGAAAAGCCCAAAATAATCAACGGAGTGGGAAAAAATAACCTCCTAAACAGAGTTTTGTTTTGTTTTTGTTTTTTTAAAAGTTTTTAATGTTAACTCCCGGCTTCTTTTATCTTACCTAGCTAAACAGGTCCGAAGAAAGTACGTGAGTGCAGCCTTTGCGGCAGTTCGCCGTAGAGTCCTTTTATCCCAAAACGTTTCGCTCACGATGAAATTTTTCTCCTCACGTCTGAAAACTCAATCCTAAAGTTGTTCAACTCACTCTAACAAAATATCCGAAAACGAAACGTCGTTCAGAGCTCTATTTTTTCACAAGGGAGAGGCACTTTAGTCAGTCCTAGAAAGTATTTTTTGACTATTCCTGGCGGAGAAATGCTGTTCAACAACGAGAGTCCGAGCAGCTACAAACCTCCCCCCTTAAATCTGAGAGTACGCATCCTCCGGACCACCGTCAATGGGCATACACTCAACACACACATCACTTCCGGTCTGCTGGTGTAATGTAAAAGACCGGAAGAAGATGAACTATGTTGTGATTCAGATAAGTGAATAGTTTTTCATTGTGGAAAAAAAAAAGCCTCCTGTTATCTTTTATATTGATAGATTTTTATATTTTTATTATTTCCGTTGTATTTTTTTTATTTTTCAATTATATATATATATATATATAATATAATATAATATAATATAATGAAGGGAAGATGGAATTAGGTGGTTGTTAGAATAGACAATTCAACCAAAATGAAGAGAAAATACTTCTTCACTGTGTTTCAAATTATAGCAAAAAGCATGTTCACTTTTGAATTGAGTTAACACTAAAATTTGTTGCTCTTTAGTTGATTCACAGTAGGTTTCCATTATAGGCTACGAAAGACATCCCACATTTGACTTTATTAGCTTAGATTAGGTTCAACTTTATAGTCATTGTGCAGAGTACGAGTACTAACGCAACAACATTTATCAGCTAACCAGAAATGCAAAAGAAATAGTGAAAGTGGAGTTCAGTATGGATGTGCTAAGATATATACAGTATCAACACTGCATGTAAGTATGCAAGATATACAGTATGACACAGTCTTAACAGAAGGAGCAGAGTGGTGTGAACATAGTTATTATATAAATAGATACGTACATAAGGACGATAACATAAGTGTGCTAGATAAATAATATAAACACTGATAAATGTAAATTGAAAGATAGGCATAAGTGACAATAAGAACAGTGGAAGACAGCTGATCTGGAAAGGTTACACAGTTATCATTTTGTAAATCATTTTACACAATATATTCCCTCCATATTTTATACACTGCCTCTGTCAGTGTTAGGCTTATTTTAGTTTTTTTTTTTTTTTTTAATAGTATAAAGTGCATGTTTTATTTTGAAAGTCAAGCAGCCTAAACTCGGCCAGTTCCTCTCCAGCTTGACGCGCGGCTGCTCGCCCTGGTAAGTCCTGGCTCCCCCTGCCATCCACAGCACCTCTCTCCAGCTGAGTCCGCCGACTCTCCACGCTGCTCTGTGCATCGTGCGACCCGAGACATGGACAACACGCAGGGTGGTGCTCTGACTATAGATAGTTACAGTCCTCCTGCATTACATTTTTAGACGCCACAGCAGATAAAAAAAAAAAAAAACAAGACGAAGTCACTGTAAACAACGTCGTGGTCACAACGAAAGACAGTAGGCCTGTAAGACACGTGAATTAGAACACATCAGTACAACCACATACCTACCATCTACCACACTGTAGAAATGAACATGTGACTTGGAACAATATGTTATATGGATGCCTTAAAATCTGAAGTTAGGCAAGCTGGGAACTTTTAATTTTTGGCACATATAATGGAGCTTCTTAAACTTTGAATAACTACTTTAGATGAAGCTGAGAAAATCGATTTTATTCTTTAAATTGAATCAACAAGTTGTTGTTTTTTTGTCATAATAATAGGAAATTTTCAAGTTGTACAAACCTAAATCCTAACTTAGACAACATAAAATGATGAATGAAACCAACAAACCTCTACTGATATGTGGAATTGTGAAGAAGAAGAAGAAAAAAAACTCAGCTTCTTGTTGAACTGATCTGTAATTATTGGTTGTGCAAACATATCATTAAAGTTGGCTTAACAACGCATCTTATTGAATTAACTGAACTTTTCAAGGCAGCCAAGTTACTTTTTGATGTAGATTTACCCTGCCCAACTTACCAGTTCAGTCATTGGGCTAGCAGATGTAAGAAGACAAATGTTTATCAGTGTAGATGTTGGATGACTGAATGTGAAGGCAATTATATGATTTGTTTTGCAGGATTGCAGATAACCAACTCGAATACTAATTTGGTGACAGAACGTTAGCACTTTCATCAACTTCTTGTTCAAGGCGGTCTATAAAACAGCTTTACTGTGCTGGCGTATGGATCATATGCTTTGGCAGAATTTCAAAGAGCATCAGAATTTCAAATGTGTCTGCCAACTCAGCACAAACATAAAGTTTGCTGTGCTTGATCAAACACATAGTTCGTATCTGAGGAGCTCATATGGTCTTTGATTTCCCGTCACAACTGACAAATGATTGACGACTGAAGCTGCAGAGACACATGAAGCCCAGCTTCTTAGTTAGATTAAAGTAAGAGATGACAAAGAAAACTGCTGTGTTTCAACATGTGTTAGCCTTTCATCTTCCATGCAATGTTAACCTTGCGTGGGGTTAAAGGACATTTATAAAATACCGTGACTTTATTATTAGCTGGGCTTTGTTTGACAACCAAAGTCTGTTTTTCCGCTCAGTACTGGAGTGTCAAATATCCCAAAAAGAAAAACAGCCTCATACAAAGATACTTCTGCTCTGTATTTCCAGAGGCTACATAATTTTACTGCCTGTCTCGTACTGAGAAAGCAAACATTGTCTTATTGCAGGTATACTGGCTGTTACACAGGCTCCAAACTGATCTACTATCAGCAAACACAGGAGGATGTTGGCACCATGTTATAGGATGTCACTTTTTTTGTTGGTACTGTTCCATCTACAATACAAATGTCAGATAGTGAACTAAAAGTGCAAGAAAAGATCACAACAAAAACAACTTTATAGTAAATAAGCAACATTTTATAGAGAATGACAATATATTAACAACACACACACTCTTGGAAACACACATCTCTTTACAAAAAAGGGGCTACTTAAAATACAAAAGTTTATGATAATGTTAATTCACCAAAAATCTTCACCCAAAGTCTTTTTTATGCTCAGCCATTGATTAAAAGGAGAGTGTTTCAATATGCATCACATTTATCTGCAATTTTTGACTGTATGTATAAAAGTAATGCTACTCTGTTTTCAGTTGCAATAACTTTTCTTAAAGGGAGACTCCGCTGATCTTTCACATCAAAGTCTGTTTATAGGATTTGAGGAGTACTAATCCATATGTGCAGCAGTTGTATGAAGGGTTTTGTGGCTCCATGGGGATCTGCATGAAGTCTGATGAACTGCCTCAAGGGCAGCACTTGAGGCAATTTATCAGACTTCAGCATCAGTTGAGCCGGAAAAGAAAAAACGTAATCGGAGAATTTGGCTTTAAAAAGAAGTGAGCTTACCAGACCTTAGTAGCCTCATCAGCAGTTACTAGTAGAACCCACCTGAATCTCTAACTAAACAGTCGGTGGTCGTGCTGCATTGTGGGTAATCCAGGCAACCCTGAGAGGGATAGAAGAACAATATGTGGAATAAAAGAGATGATGTCTCTTATTCTGTTGCATCATTTTTTTTTAAAAACCTGTCAATATTCACATTTTTGTAAACAAACAAACAAAAATCTTGTAAAAAAGGAATAATGGAAATCTGGCAACAAGTGTCAAAAATGTAAAAAAAATAAAATAAAATAAAATAAAAATATCTGCAAAATAATTGTATTTTAGTGGTTTTAAACATCTTTTTTTTTTTTTTTTAAAAATAGCTTATTTTTACTGTCAAAATACAAAATACACGGGTTGGATGTTAAAATGTTTTTTAAAAAATTATTTACCATTTTTTAGTAGTCAGTATATAACATTTTCCTTTCAAATATCAACAAATATCTGTAAAATAATTATATTTTTGGCTGAATCAAATGCAGTAAAAATAGTGTAGTTTTACAGTCAAACGTTGTAAATGATTAAATCACCATTCATGAAAATACAGATTTTTATGAGTGAGTAAGTTGTTTCAGTTTAGATCTTTTTTTTTCCATCTCAAAATTAGACTCTATGCAGATGACATCCTGTTTATCTCAACAGCCTTTCCAGAAGTTTTCAGTCTCGTATCCATGTGCCCAGATATCTCAGATTACCTGCACAAATCGGTCTAAATGCAAAGTTATACTATGATGCGAGAAGGTGGCCTCTAAAAATGTCCCTCTCACAATATCAGGTAACATTAAATATCTTAGTATTAATGTTTTCATCAAGCTGTGACAGCTTTTCCCTCTGTACTCTGATGAACAGTAACTAAGTACATCTACTCAAGTGCTTTACTTTGAATTTTGAGGTACGTACACTTCCATTTTATGCTGCTTTACACTTTTACTCCACTACATTTCAGAGGAAAATAATGTACTTCCCACTCCAGTGCATTTATTTGACAACTTTTAAGTTCCCGATTTTACACAGTGTATAATATAGCAAATCTTTAATATACAACACATTGCTAAACCACTGGTTTCTAACCTTTTGGGCTTCTGGTGTCTTACACAAAAACAATGTGTAGTCTGGGTAGCATCTTATATGTCTGAATTGTTAACAGCTCCACTATATTGTAATTTTTCTCTAAACTTCTCACACCATTTAATTCTAATACATTTAGAAGTGATGCATGCAGGACTTCTACTTGAGTATTTTTTCTTAAGCAAAGGTTCTGAATATTTCTACCATCACCATCCATCTTCTAATTAAACTCTTGGCAAGAAATAAATACATATATCTCCCAGAATGTCAACTCTTCCTGTAAATAACAGTGACGAACGTCGATGCCAAACATCACCCTGCCTTTATGCTACACTCTTACTTTCAACATTTCTAAACTGTCTTTTTGTCAAACGCACTTTGAGCTCAAATTAACTTTCAACTTCAAACAGCACTGCTGACTATGAAGCAGATGGAGTGTGAATCTGACAACCGCATACATACCAAAGAAAAACCAAGCATGTTTATTAGAGTAACTAACAGTGAGAGTTCGGGGTGCATGTGCCGCCATCAGCCACATCTTAGGATTTCAGCATCAAAACACGACTGAGACGATCTTTGATGCAACAGCAGTGTGGAACCAGATATTTTATAGATGTTTCTTTTTCTTTTTGTGTCACTGATGAAGAATTCCCTTGAGACGCACACAAAGCTGTTAATGATATTAAAAAAAAAAAAAAGTTCTGCACAGGACATGAAAG